GGATAAGAATTTGTGGAGAGTTATGGATGCCTATGTGCTGAAGGGACACAGTACAAAGAAAACTTAGAGACCATCAGATGGTAGCCACTGTGTGATGTCACATTTACATAGAAGTTTTGGATAAGAAACATATATTATTTTGTCTTAAACAATTAAGCTGTCTGAAGAGTATGGACAACAAATTGCTTCATCCAAGAACACTTTCTTTTTTAAACTTTGTTCACTCTGATTTTTTTTTCATAGAAAAATCATAATTTTCAGCATACTGCTATTATTTGTTTTATTGCCAGATGTTAAGCAAAGAAATGGTGACCAGTTCAAAACCACAAATTATTCATGAGCCATGCCTAAAAAATTGCCGATTTCTCCAGTTTATTTGCTAGGTGTCATAAAATGGAAGCTGAACAACCCTCATCATAGACAGTGGTAACACCATAATCTTGTAGATTTCTGATTTTTCAGCTGCCATCATTTTAACATCATTTTCTTTTTCTCCAGACAATATCAAGTGACACAGAAGTAGCCATATTAATAAATCATCTAACATGGTAAAACAAGTAAAAATAGAGGTAATGTTGGCTTTGTCATTTTATCTTAATAACAAAACAGGAGGCTGCAAAGATCTCTTCTAGATTGCCAGTGAGTACTATATGTTCTATAGACTTACCAAAGAAAGAAAAGATTTTGAATCTGAGTAAAGTAACCTTTCTCTTAAGAGCTACTTGTAATATCTTGACTGATTCCTTGTCTGTATATAAAATAATTTATACATAAGTGTCCTATGAGTAGAATGAAAAAAGTAAATACATTCATTTGAACCAATTCTAATAAATATTTGAAAAATATAAACAAATAAATAAATTTTTCTACATTGCTGAGATGAAGTATTGTAACTATTTATATTATTCAGACTCTTGTCCTCATCTTTAATGCCATATTAACGTTTCAGCCATTGTACGCTCTGGCCTTCTTCATGGCCCAGTAGATAAAAGCATTGGATGAAGTAATCCAACAAGTGACTTGACCCAAAGCATTGGGAGTTCATAACTGCCCCCCCCCCCCAAGCAGAGGGAACAAAAAATTGGGGAGTTGAGTTACTAAAGGGAATTAACAGAAACTAAGATATCCAGAAAAAGCATGGCACATGGAACTAGAACAATCTACCGCCATGGACTAAATAGAGCAGGGGTTCTCAACAGGGATGAAATTCACTCCCAGCGATGAATTGTGACCACAGTAAGTTTAGGCAGGGAGGAGAGCAATTATAGTATTTGGCCGATCTGGCCTGTCACCTTGAAAAGGAGGGAGGGGAAGGGCATTCTGACAAATGGTGAAAGGGGTGCATGGGGCAAGCAAGGTTGAGAACTCCTGAAATAGAGGGTTTGAAATTCCAATGTATATCACCTGAAAAAGGCCAGAGCATAGAATGGCTGAAACCTCATGAATATGACAATATAGAGGAGAACAACAGTCTGTAAATATGTAAATAGTGTGTATGTGTGTATATATATATATATATATATATATATATATATATATATATATTCATTTGGAGCTTATTATAAAACCTAATAAAAAGTTTTGAAGGCCACTGGATTGAATGGCTTATCAATCAACTGTTTTCTTGAAATATTTGGTGATTTTAGTGGTAAAATGACGGATTAACAATATTATGTGAACTCTGTTGAACTATCATTTTAATACAAATGAAGAAAAGCTATAAATATATCTGAATCATAGCAATTTGAAAATTACAGAAGATGAATATTACAGTCCAATCAGTGAAAAAATTTGTAACAAAAATTAAAAACTTCATCATAAATAGATTCAACCTTTACTGGTGAAACAAGAGAGAAGGTGGAAATATGGACAGTGCAGAGATCAATGCAGAAAAAAGATTTGGCTAAGATTGTAAAGAAAAGTTTAAATTAATTGCAGTGAAGCCAAACATCGGCAATGCTATTTTTGCCCAATGACCTGAATATTGCACAAGCCAAATTTACTAAATTGAAAGGATATTTAAAAGCCATCAGTTAGTGTTTATAATGATTATTATCATTATTTTTTATGATATGAAATCTTTATAAAGTCAAAGGATAGTCACTTATTTGAGGGGAAAAGAAGTCACAAGCAAAAATAGTGTAAGATGGGCAACGAACTAATGTGTTTGTTTGATATAACAACTAAAGGAAAAAAAATATTCTTGTAACTAGAATTTAGTTAGGCTGTCAGAGAGAAGAAAAAAATTCATACAAACTGAAAAAAATTAAAGGACAAGGAAATTTTTCTTTTAAAGTAAAACTGACTAAGAAATATGAAGGTATTTTTATCTTGAAATTATAAATTCTTCTATGTGCTATGTCCAAGGTGATCTTTAACTGTTTAGGGTCACCTTGGACACATCCTTTCAGATGTACTATCTCTACAACTTTCTGTCATTTGTGGCTCTTAGTAAGGTTCATCTTTTTATTATCTCTCCTAATCCCAGTTCTGTCAAGTATATGATGAAAAATTGCCAAGAATCAGATTCCAGATATTTTTGGAAGTTTTTTTTATACACACATGATATATATATAATATATATATAATATTCACTTATTTGGATTAACAAATCCAGTAAACAT